TTTTTTCTTTTTTATAACGAAATCTTCTCAAACTAACAAAAATTCACCGACTTCTGTTTTATTGATAAGCTTAAAAATTCTCAGCGATGGAAAGAGATCTCTGAACGAATTTTTAACAAATGTCTCAATCTGATTGTTTGCATCCTCTCTTGCTATGATTTATTGCATATTTTTCCTTATAAGCACTATTTGATTAAAAAAACAACAACTGAATTAGCGTTGATAAACAAGGTACCATTTCCTTTTCTTAATCTTGGAGTACTCTTTTTTCAAATTTTCAATTTCTCAAGACCTAGCTAAATACGGTATCGCACCTGCACGTTATCAACTCACCATTATCTTGAATTTGTCCTTTTATCCTTGATCAGCTAGACTTTTCCTGGATTTTGACATCTATTGAGCTCTCCAATCTTTTTCTTGATTCTCCCTTTAGTTGGCCATCCTAGTACAGAAGAAATATTTCGTGAATACTTTTGAATGAGGCGAGGGTGGCCGGGTCTTAAAGCCGAATGGCTCATTGCTAGGCAGTGCTTCTCCCTGGAACCTGTAGTACCAAGCCACCAAGAGAATGCCACCTTCCATGGTGGATGATAGTCTATTGAATGTAACCGGCTGCCACTATTTTTGTAGTTTTTCTCGGACATTTCGCTGGACTCGAAAAAACGACAGAAATCGAGCTCATGGATATACCAGATTCTTCCCGTAAACGACCTCACAGGTAGCAGTGATAACATTTGTCATCTCTCATTGACCTTTCAAGGATTTGCCCTCCGTATATAACATTCCGTATCTACCATTCAGTACCTATAGGCTCTATAATCTTTGTACTCTTATCTGTATGGAGTTATCGCGCCACAGATGTCTCCAAATTTGGGGAAGTGGATTAAACATAATGAGATTATGACTTCATGGTCTGAGAAATGGAAGATGTAGGTCAAAGACAATTTGCGGTACTGTTTCAACACTCTTCTTGATTCTATCAGTCAGTTACTGTAAACTGGGCTTAGGGAGTCCCGCAGTAGTTTCCCTTGAGGGAGATAACACAAATTTCTGTAGGCAAAACCAACCTCGCCAGATAACAGAATGGAATATTATGAACACAACATAATTACCTAAAATTTGAGGAAGGCCCTAATCTTGTGGCATCTTCTTGTCCTGGCAAGTCGTCACGTGACTTTAATATGGTTCATTTGCTCTCATCTGTAGTGAAAAGGGACAGTTATGATCATAAACAGGTGACTTTTCGACGGCTACTTATATAACTTAACATTTATCCCATAATATTTAAAATGGTGTTTTAGAATGAGAACAAGGTGTTTGAGACAACAACTTAAACCCTTGGACTGATGTATGAGACTGGCATCTGTTACGGTATTTAAAGATAGGTTGAAAACAGCTTACCAGTCAAAGTCCATCTAGCCTGTGTACGAGCATTCATTATTAGCGCTGCAGGACATGCGTTTCTCCACCCATAGGAATATTTAAGACGAGGCGAGGAGAAGTTTGCCGGAGGTCTGGCACTATTTATTAGTCCCAGACCCCTTACAGACCTCTCGCCGACTTGCATTACTCAAGGCCTCATTCTTTCCCGCGGGTGAAGAAACTCTCGTGCTGATATGTGATAGGATAATAAGAAGAACTAATAATAGTAACAAGAGCTGATAATGATGATAATAATAATAATAAGAGCTAATAGCAATGATAAGAGCTCATGCTGTTCTCTGCAGAGTGAAGTGAAAAAGAGTATTGCTACTCCAACTGGGTAAGATGTTATTCTTGTACGAAAAATACACTCCGAGATGGAGAAGCATTTATAATACTTCCAGAACAACCATCTTTCATGATAATGGCGTTAATGATGTGTCCTCAAACATACCGCAAACTTGGAAACCCTCCACCCACCCCAACCCTCATACGTTCCATTGTCAGGATGTACGCTTCTCCTTCCTTCCTGCTTTTGAGATGGTAAATAAAGAGAGATCAGATCTTTACTGTCTGTAATCAGTCTGCTAAAATCGGCCAAGATAGTTTCAGAACAGTTTCTCTTATTGGGTTTAAGACAAAACAAATATCTTTATGTACAACCAAGAGCCCATTACTCCCGGTACAACTCGTTTTCCAAGATAATAGCAGGGAACTCTAATTACCTAAGCTTTGGGGACGATCGTCATCTTGGAGTGTCTGTCTGTCCGAAGGATAATATTGTGATGAATTGCACCGCGTTCGTCTCCTATCGAGTTCACCCCTACCTTATGCCGTGTTCGCCCCCACACTTTTCGAGTTCGACCCCATCAAGTCGAGTTCGCCCCTTGATTGAGTGATATCCAGATGAGTTGATTTGTGACGAAGGCACTAGCAGAATGTGCCAAATGTCACGTCAGCGACGACCATTTTGAATTTCGGCAATTGCGTGGAACCTGCTTGGGAACTGGGTTGACGGAATCAACTAAATACTCTGCGTGGGATCTGGGGTTACCAGAAATAACTGTGTACACTAAACTTGCGATAGAGAGAACCACAATTAATCAAAACAACATTGCTTAACTTATTATTCAGACTGGCAAAGATGTAAAACAACCTGGGTTTATCTAACGAACACGAAAGGTGTTGGTCGTAACAACCAGACTTGAGAGGATGCAAACCACGCTTTAATCGCGACAGCATTGCTTAAGTTGTTAGACTTGTACCTCGCTTAGCTTTATTTATGAAATTAAGACTGAAGAATTTACGAAACCACGATATGATCACGCTTTTTGTTTTAAGGTCATAGCAACCAGACTTAAGAAAATGCAAACCAGGATCGCAAACCACGCTTTCATCGCCCTAGCTCCCACGCATATATAAACTTTCAAAATGGCCGTCGGTCAATTAAAATTCAAACTTGTCTTGGTTCTAACTTGTTTGCAATGTTTGATAGCAACTAATTTAGACATGACTCAAACTGGGGGCGAACTCGACTTGGTGGGGTCGAACTCGAAAAGTGTGGGAGCGAACACGGTATAAGGTAGGGGCGAACTCGATAGGGGGCGAAAGCGGCAGATACCATTGTGATGATCAGATACAGGTTAATCATTAACTGCTACCTCTACAAATTTACATCTATTCTTGTATTCACCTTATAGTTATCATAATAATTGCATGCGTTGACCTAAAGCATGAAACCATTGTCTCTATTCGATTCATTTAAAAATTAACTATTAAATTTTATCAATAACCAAAACCACACACCATCATTCTGGTGCTTAGAAAGGGAGGACACCTCGTTACTGAAATGATTGGGGTGGAGTAGGATGGGGGTAGTAATGATACCCTGGAAAAGGTATCACAAAATAACTGAGATATTACTCCCGATCTGATTTGTCCAAAAACCTATTGTTGAATCTACATACAGCCATGTTTGTTGAGATAAAAGACTAGACTTTATCAATTCGCGGGTGATATGATCTCCAAGAAGTCACTTCGTCAGTAAGCTTTTAGAAAGTGCGGTGTTCTTGTCGAATCATTTCTGATTTGCTATTAAGCAGGGTGTTTCAAACCCAAGTGTAAATCCCCATGAAAGCTATTTTCCGGCCTAAGCTGGGTCACTAGGTAGGTTGAAAACTACCTTTTCGTAAACCTAATCAGTGTATTTGATGGAATCTATACTGTAATCTTCCACAAGTAAATCTTTCACAGGTTAGATTCTAACACACTTATATTTCCTTCGGTCTAATCACGATTCTTTTGTAAAACAAAAAATGAGTAAATCCAGAATACTCTTGGAGGTTAGACTATGAAGGGTAAATTTACCCTAAAACCTTTCTTGATTTTCAAATTTGAAGCAGAGAAGTTTATAATGCTACTGGCTGTTTTTTACGACAAATTGCCCTTCACTGAATTAACTGAAATTGTTTTTTCTTAATTAACCTCTGCTAAAAGCTGCAACATGTAAAATGCCGTCAGTTTATTCAAATAAGTCTAACATACGAGCGGTATCCATATTCAATTCATACTAAATGAGACAGACCCAATGTCCCACGAAGAATGTAATTTTTTACAATCATTTGGAAGCATTATTAAAACATGTCACAAGATGGAAACAGAATTGTTTTGTAAATACCTGTTGGAAAGGGTTATAACGAGTCCATTTGTCCACTTCTTCGTCGTTGAAATCCACGTGTTCTTGTCCAGGAAAGCGACGTTAAATTTAACCAAAGCAAAACAACACCAAAATCTTGTTCACCAGCGTACTACTGGACAACCATTACGAACGTATGAGTGATACAAAACATCTCCATTGTGTATTTGGCGAACTGCCGGATTAGTTGTATGTTCGGCCATCTTGTCATTTGAATGTCATTTCAAACCCTCACGAGGTGCCAAAAAATTAAGAATAAATTAAAATTTATGTTATATCTGAAATTCAAATGAAGGCAGCTCCTGGTGTTTTAGAACGGAATAAGAGGGCGTTGTTTATTCGAATTAGCCATCATGGAAATAGGGGAAGCGTGAAGTTAAAAAATAAAACTCACTAGAAGACATTCTGGTCATAAGCAAGAGAGATTTAAATTCTTCTTCTCATATAAAAATTTTAGCAAAAACCACGGCGACATTAAATTTTCTCACTTTACACTACAGAAATGTTGACAGCGATAATCTTGGCCAAGAGAAGCAGAACCGATGCCTAAAATGTTAAAGTTAGTTAACTGCATTGAAGGAAAGCCCTCTTTAACACCACGGACAACAATTAATGGACTATAACAATGATTTTTTTTATACACGATTTATCTTTCTAAGAGTTTTAATTTCTAACTCTGGTTTTGACATTCTTGTGCCCAGATTTAGCGCCTTGACACCATTATGATGTCAAGAAGTGACGACACAAACACGTTACCATGCAACTAGTCATAAACAAATCGAAACTTTGTTTCACCACAAGAGCTCGGTTCTTATTGAAGCAAAGTGAAGAGGGCTGATTTTTCGTATTTATCGAATGGTCCTAGTGAACATATCAATACAAAATGAACAAAAACATCTCAGGTGACGAGGAGTCCGTGAAAAAATCCTTTTCTGCGAGAATATTCGACAAAGAAGTTAGTGTCACGGATCGTTCTGCTCTCCAGGTATCACATAGGGCACAGATCATGGCCATTGAGGTGGGCGTTTCCCAATCATTAGGACTTTATTTTCTTTTAAGTCATACGTTTAATAAATTTAAGTTAGATTTGCTATCGGAAGGGCATTAAGAAAAAAGCTTTTTGAAGTGATGGCAAGAAGACTTTATTCATTCTATAAGATGTGAAATCGGTCGTAGATGGTTCAATTCAAATCGTAACTCGGTTACGTCCGAACTAAGCTCAGTTTTAAGCTTGGTCGACACTGAAGAAACATTTAAACCAATTGGAAGTTTTTTGCAGGAAAGATGTTTAAGTAACTGAGTTGAAAAATTTCCTCGTAAAGAGATGAAAAAGCGCGTGCGACCAAAAATTCTTAGATTATGACGTCACTCTTTGACATTCCTCTATCTTTCCGCTGTATGTTGGTTATGTGTTGTGTCCTCAACTTTGATGATTTTGAAAGTTTTGTTGTCCCTAATGGCATAATTTCTTTCAGTTTGCAAGAGAAAGGGAACAACTTACGCAAAAGATCACTTACCTTGAAACAGAGATTAACGGTTAGTACCATGAAGTCGAATGAAGTGACGCGGAATAACAGAGGTGCGCGCGCGGACTTGAGCCATTAAACTTTGGAGGGGGCGAAGTTTTACTGTATGTCCATGACAACAAGCCCTTTACACCCCCTCTCCTTCCCCCGTTCATTGTTCCGTCATAAACAGTTCAGTTTTTTTTTTTTATTTTATAGTTCGCGATTTGACTCACTGATTCAAAACTGTAATTTCACTCATCTTTATTTCAAGTATCTTTAATATTTGTTTGTATTTTAACAGCTAAGGAAAAGGAGATCGCCATCCTTCAGCAAACTCTCTGTGGGAGAGACAAAAAGATTACTGATCTCAAAGAAAAACTGTCCCAACTACAACAAAATGGGCAAAGAAATAATTTTGATCTTGCCAATCAAATGGCAGCAATGGATAAAAAGCTACAGGAGACAAAGAAGAACATTGCCGAGCTTGAGGCTGGCGTAATTTTCAATGTCATGAAGAATGAAATGGAAGCAAAAGAATCCCAGAGCGAGCCACAGGCATTTAATGGTGAGTATACAAGGCGCGATGGCGTCGTATCGACTGAGTGGTGACCACGCAGTTAATACGACTGCTTTGTTCTCATGAACTCAAATTATGTTCCAGGAATGCGTCAAGGGATAAAGGTGGGGAAAGAACGAGGGTCGGTATCACCTTTCACTAATTATAAATCGTTGCTTTGAAAGGCCAAGGAAGACTACAAAATGCTTAAAATTGCTGTTCACGCCATCGGCGAAATCATCATTTACCGGCCTGATTTAAAAGTACGTTTCCCATTTCACGAAAGACACAACTTAAAATTATGATATTCCATTCCCTAGACGAGAACAGGCACTTTAACCTAAAAACTTTTTAAGATTCTTTTCATAACGTTTGGGAACGTTTTCTTCCATGCACTTTAATTTTCATTTGTTTTGTTTTATTTTTCAACCAGGCAAAAATTACTTTGACCATCAACCATCATGGTTTGATACCCTATCAAACAACGGTGGATATCTTGAAGTGGAAAACTTTCCAGTAACAGCCAAAGAGATTGAAGCTATGAAGAATGTTAGATCAAATTCAAGGCTCTCTACTGAGTCAGCTAAAGGTGTGCTGAAGGAAACTTATAAAACAACATTTCACACATTCAACAGACCGCAGCGATAGCAGTGTAGTCTGATGAGTGACAAAACAGTAATACTCTTAAAATTGATCAGAAAAATGTTCTTTCATGCACTGTTTGATTTTCATTTATGCTTTTTTAATTAGGCAAAGATTACTTTGACCATCAACCGTCATGGTTTGACACTCCATCAAAAAACGGTGGATGTCTTAAACTTGAAAACTTTCCAGTGACAGCAAAAGATCTTGAAGCGATGAAGAATTGCAAATCAAATTTAAAGCCCTACACTGCAGCAGCGAAAGGTATGAAGAAGGAAACTTGTAAATTGTGAATACTTTACAGTCTACATCTGAGCGAAAGCAGCCTGTAGTGTGATGAGTAACGAAATAGTTAGACACTTAGAATTGTCAAGGTACTTTTCAGCTTCAGTACCCTCCTCATTAAGTGCAATGAGGAACTCAATGATTTGACGATTATTAAGCAAAATGAAATCGTAGTGAAAACATGTCAACAATAATCTCTAAAGAGGAAAAATGCAAGGCGATTAAAATTCTACTTTTGCTTTACTAGTCTGAAAAAATGATTCAAGTAAAACTTGACACTTCATTTTCTTTCTTTTCCCTTTACCCAAGATTGTGGTGAGGCGAAATGTCAACAAGCACGTGTCTCAGGCGGCAGTTTTGTCCGAGCTGAAATGAAGAAAAACTGTCCACCACCCCAGAGAGAAGATGAATCCAAAAGCATCACCGGTTCAATTAGTCAGAAGGTCAACCCATTTTCTGGAAAGGCAAAACCTTTGGATCGAACAGCACAAAGTCCTGTGAATAAGAATAGGAGACCTCAAGTCGAGAAAAGCAGCCCGCAAGTACAACCGAGGAATATCTCCAATCTATCCTTTGCCAGGAAGAAAAATCCGCTTCCCGAGAAGGCTAAGGCTTTGGATCGACCAATACCCGATTGTGCAGCCGCCGACATCAGAGGAACTGAAGTTGTGATCAACACTCTATCACTTCAGCTCAAACGTGTTCCATCCAACAGTATCACAGATTCCTCTGGTAACAAGGTGAACCCCTTTTCCCAGAGAGCTAAATTCGTTACAAAACCATCGCACATCCCTGCTGCCAAGTTTGCTCAAACTCAAACTGTGATGATTGATGCTGCATTCAAGACTGGAGAGATCAATCCGTGTTCGGAGAAAGCCAGAGGTATGGTCAGTCGAACGCCATTTGATAAATGAAGAGGAGGATTTAATTGTAAAGAGTGAGCTTCTTTAGTGGCTAAGGCAAATCTCGCCCAACTTCGCTCAGTTTTGGTTTAGTAAGCTAAACATCCCAGGTTCCTCATATTCAAACGGAATTCTCTATGTCACAGTCATGAACCAAACAGTTCATGCTATGATAGCTCTTCAAGAAATGTAGAGGCCAATCTATAATTTAATCTGTAATAAGACGAGGTTTTTAACAAAAATCTGTCTTGAATTTTATAGGGAGTCCGTATTCTTTCCATCGCCCATTACCCCCTACTCTGGCGAGCATCGTTCCCAGTGGATCTCAAATAGCTTTCGCTCACCAGCAGATCAAACGACACTCCATTCCTCAAACTGGTAGGTAGCTAAAAATGAAATTCTGCAAACTGTCATAGGCCTGTCATAAACTCCCTGGGGTCAAACTTCGTAAGGGTTTGGGGGGAGGGGGGTTGATACCTTAAAGGTATGACGTATATGTGGCATTGTAGAACTCGCTGGGAAACTAGCTCAGAAACAACCGAATTTGGGATATACAACTTCAGTCAGTCTCAATTTTTTTGGTTTTTTCCACAGAACAAGGATTGCTGAAGAGAACTTTTAACAAGTGGTTCGGATCATACTTCTGAAGTGAGTGCATAGCTATTCAGTAAGTTAAGTACGACATACCTGTCAATAATTTGGCATTACCCTGACTGAAGTAATTTACTTTAGTTTGACTTAACACCGTGATATTGACCCTGATATTTTATTCATTCCACAGATCATCTTCAATGCAGATAACTCAACTTTAACTCTTTCTAATTCTTAACAATTTCAAAACCGGGCGTTGTTTGTTATTTTGAGCTTGTTATATGTGTTCGTCTTTTGAAAAAAATCTGTGATCAAATTAATCAAACAGCCAAGTCTAAATGGTTATGATTCCAGTTTGATGCTTAGGGTTATGAACTCATTTGTAAATATGTACATAGTATGGTAATATTTGATTATGTTTTGATGAATGTTCACCAAATTCGTCAAAATCGTTCATTTTTTATCCCATAATATACATTAAAGAAGAAATGAGGTATATTTTGAAGAAACAATTCGTTTGACAAACGTGTGTTTAACTTTGATTAGCGTGGTCTATAATGTACCATGCATTATTTATAAGTAAAAAGTACGTAATAACCATGCAAGGTTAGATGAGTGTTGCAGCATTTGTTTAATTTACCTTTCCCCAAAGATTGTAGGTAATTCAGTCCTGGTGATGACTGTGATAACTAAGATAAGTTCCTGTGAACACGTTGTAATCGCTGTTGACCTGTCTTGTTTACATTCGGTCAACTCGTTCTTAGACTAAAAAACCAGAGTCACCCACGGTGAATGACCGCTAAATACAGGTTACACAGGCTAGGGGTATTGTAAAAAACGATTCACAACGCCACTTGATACCATATTTGACACTTAATGTGCTTAATCTCGCTCGAAAATACTACTTGCTCTGATTTTGGGAGAGTAACATTGACTCAAAATTACTTAAAATATCATTCTTAGTTTCTCTGTCCAATTTTGAATGAGTTTGTTGCATACACTTTCGGACGATCACCGATACCTGACATTCGCATGATTACGGAAAGTTAGCTGATGTCGAAGATGTGTTCCAGCACGGATCCTCACACACTTACCAGCCTGTTTGTTAATTTTATTCTCGACAAAGAGAACTTCACTGCAGTTAACGATCGAATATCGACATCTTGACGTCAGAGTTTGGCACGTAGACATACTGAGAAAACATTTACCTCCTTCTAACTTGCATTGCCTATGGAAGGATGACGAGCTTGAAATGGATAATACATAAGAAACGTAAAAGGAGGAAAAGAGGTTAAAAAAAATACATAAAACGGTTAAAGCCAAACAAAACCATTTCTATTTTAAGGAAAAAGAGTCTGTTCCGGCGACTTCTGAGCAACAGAAAACATTACAGGATTTAGAATATAACTAACAATTAACAAAGTGGCCCGAAAAGAAAACTGCTCTGAAATAAAAATAAGGGAAAAGGAAAAGAGAAGATAAAATAATGATAATAAGGAGAAAAAGAAGAGAAAAACAGCAAAAACAAAAATGGAAATTTCGCGGGGAGGAGTTCCTCGGCCCCCAAGCCAGTTTGAGAGTTACTCCTTGTCCGCAAGCTCCAAATCATACTCGGGGAGAAGTTATTCGGCCCCCAAGCCAGATTGAGAATAACTCCTATAGCGTGATTCGAACCCGCGACCTCGATGACCTCTCTTGCACTCGTTGCGCGCCTACGATTGCCGCTCGACCATCTCGAAACTCCTCATTTGATAAGTATGAATTGTCGGTGTAGTGAGTTTTGAAATACCAGGTTGGGGGGGAGGGAGAGGAACTTTGTGTTACTGAGAGTGCAATCGAGCGTTTCCGGTCAAGAATAAAGGAAATGAATCAAACAAAGAACTGACAAAAGCGATCTACACGAGGAATATTAGCATATGCTGTAATGGCGGACGGCTTCGTTTGCTGAAGCTCTCTTATATGATTCTTCAGTATTGCATTGCACATCTTTTACGGTGCATAAAAATCACGGAATCATTTAGGCAAATAAGCGCGCTTATCGTATTTTAATCCATGGACCAGGTTAAAAGGCTCGATGGTCTTCAGCTCTTGATTGAGAACATTAGCCTATACTTGCTATTGCATAATTTTGGCGTACAAATTATCCCTTTTACATTGGGGAATCTTATTTGGTCTTTTTGGCTCCAGTGAATCCCTCAATAAAGAAGATAGTAGTCCTTTATAATAAAATTTGTATTATCATTAACAAGCTCTTTGAGTTCATGCAAGGATAAAAAGGCGTTCAAGACTTTAACTGAATAAATCTGCAACTTACTGAACTGATGGCTTAAGAGTACCATTATTAAAAAAAAATGGGTCGATTTGTATCGGAGAGTTATGCCGTACAGAAGCAAAGAGAGGAAGTGGTCGGTAGACTTTTACATTTTTCTCGCAAGTTATTTGTGACCAAAAATGCAAATTTCCTTCATAAAAGTAACGGATGTACTTATGTATTTAACCATCTTCCATTTTAAAGCGGGGTTGACGCAAGGGTAATCAGCATATTTATCACTGACACTTCTGATTGTCGTCCGAAATTTATCATTACGAAATCATTATCTGAGAGAAAGGAGGTGTAAAGTTTCCAATAAATTGGACCACAAGTAAGAAGAGGGTACTTTTGCCAAAACCTCCTCCCCTCTAACGACCAACAGGAAGGTCTGAAGGGTGTCAGGAGCCATAGACGGCGATAAAGAACTTAATCACATGATTTAGTTTACAAACACACTCAATAATCAAGGTGAGCTACTAGAACCAGTTGTATCTGGTTAAGCCTTGACAAATTGTGAAGTTGATGCCAACTAAAAACTTTACTTGACCTGAACAAACAAACAATATCGGCATAGCAAACAAAAGCAGCATTTCAAGCGTCAAGAACAACATATTTCCTTTTATTCCATGTTTTGAATCTTGCTTCCAGTCAAGAGATGGTATTGGAGTTATTTTCTCTCATGTTTTAATATTATGGGGCTCTGTCCAATTTTGAGCGAGTTCGTTGCATACAATTTCGGACGATCACCGATACCTGACATTCGCATGATTACGGAAAGTTAGCTGATGTCGAAGATGTGTTCCAGCACGGATCCTCACACACTTACCAGCCTGTTTGTTCATTTTATTCTCGACAAAGAGAACTTCACTGCAGTTAACGATCGGATATCGACATCTTAACATCAGAGTTCGATACGAAGACATACTGCGAAAACGTTTACCTCCTTTCTAACTTGCATTGCCTATGGAAGGATGAAGAGCTTGAAATGGATAATACATGAGAAACGTAAAAGGGAGAAAAGAAGTAAAAAAATACATAAAACGGTTAAAGCCAAACAAAACCATTTCTATTTTAAGGAAAAAGAGTCTATGCCGGCGACTTCTGAGCAACAGAAAACACTACCGGATTCAGAATACAATTAACAATTAACAAAGTGGTCTGAAAAAGAAAACTGCTCAGAAACGAAAAAAAGGAAAAAAAGAATATGAAAATAATGATAATAAGGAGAAAAAGTAGAAAAAAAAAGCGAGAACAAAATGCAATTTCCGCGCGGAGGAGTTCCTCGGCCCCCAGCTCCAACTCATACTCGGGGAGAAGTTTTCGGCCCCCAAGCCAGATTGAGAATAACCCCTATTGCGTAATTCGAACCCGCGACCTCGATGGCCTTTCTGGCACTCGTTGCGCGCTTATGATTGCCGCTCGATCATCTCGAAACTGTATCTCACAATAGGATAAATTGTCGGTGTACTGAGTTTTAAAGTACCAGGTTGGGGGGGTGGGTGTGGAACTTTTTGTGACTGAGAGTGCAATCGAGCGTTTCCGGTCAAGAATAAAGGAAACAAATCTAACAAAGAACTTAGCGTCTTGATTTAGTTAGCAACACGTACAGTCAGTGATAAAGGTGAGCTACTAAAACCATTTGTAGCGGGTTAAGCCATAACAAATCGTAAGGCTGATGCTAGTTAAAACTCTACTTGATCTGAAGAAGCAACATCGGCATAACAAGCAAAAGCAACATTTCAAGTGTTAACAACGACAGATCTCCTTCAACGATTTTTTTAAAATCTTGCTTCTCATCAGGAGATGATGTTAGGGGTATTTTCTCTTGTTCTATTATCATACGGCTCCGTCCAGTTTTGAAGGGTTTCGTTGCATAAGATTTCGGACGATTACCGACACATGGCATTTTACATGATTACTGAAAGTTAAGCTTATGTTGGAGATATGCTTCAGCGCGGATCCTCACTCAATTACGAGCCTATTTTAGTATTCTTTACATGGTGAATTTCATCGCAGTTTACGATCGGATATTTAAGGTCAGAGTTCGGCGAATAGACGTACTAAGAAAGGGTTTAGCTTCAGCTTGCATTGCATACCGATTTGAAAACTGAAATGAATAATACAGAAGTAACGTAGAAGAAAATAAATAGGGGAAAATAGATAACACGGTTGCAGAAACAAAATGATTTTCAATTTGAAACTGTTGAACATGGGTTTAGAGATAAATTCTGTTTGTTCGAATTTTTTTAGTTTGATTTTCATATCATGTGAGAAAAATTGTCTCAGGACGAAATGAGATGACGAAGTACTCGCGTGACCCACTTATCACACTTCAACAGCATACCCGGAAGGACGGGAGGGCTCAGGGCACCCACATTTTTGTTAACAGTTGGTTTAATCGGAACACTTCCATTACCCTCCCCTCGGGATTTCATGTTACCATTAGGACAGCGGTCATCCGCATGAACTTTATTATCGGCGATGACAGTTTCGAAAACTCAGGCCGATATCTTCAGTGACCTTGAGTAACCTTGTGTTTCTTTTGAGGGTAGATCTTCAATATCTAACGAGAATACAGCTCGAGAGATAACGGTTTGTGCGTGTCGGCCATGAATAAGGTAAGCATCAGCAGAGATTGGTCATGTTTGCAACCTCTAGATCTGTATGCGTACCTTGATGTAAACAAAGTCCAAATTCTTACTCCTCTGTGATTGCTGGATTCTGCTGGATGGAGAGACTTCCGTTTAACCCCACTCTATTTTAAAACAAAGCCGTAGTCCCATAAGTAATTTTTTTCCCCATTGCTTTCTTTTTTTCAAGGACTGTAGGCATAATAAGGATGGGGTTCGGCGGAAATTTTGAGCTTGATTTAGCAAAACTTTAAAGTGGAGTTTTTTTTCCCAACACGATGTTTAATTTTTCTTGATCGTCAGCCTCTTCTTGGGAATGTATCTTTCACGAAAGGAGTCCGCCGCTTTTTGTATGCAGTGACACCTAAAGAAGCTTCGTTTGCTAAACTTGATGACGTACCGGACTATCTAAACGAAGTGAGTACCGGAATAAAGTGAAATGCATGCAGTAAGGAAAATGGCGTAAATTCGTCTTAATCGTCAAATCCACCCTGCTGATTTAGCTTTCATGAATTGGATGAAAATTCGTCAAAATCGTCAACTCCGCCAAGTTAATTTCTTTGATGAATTTTAGTAAAATTCATCAAATTGTCAGTTGCCCCAAGCTGATTTTACTTAGGACGAATTCGACTAAAATTTGTCAAAATTGTCAATTCCGCCAAGCTGATTCCCTATGAGAATTTGACCAAAATTCGTCAAAATTTTGAATTCTGCCAAGTTGATTTTGCTTTGACAGGTTTTGACTTTAATTTGCCAAAATCGTCAGATCCATGAACATTCACTCCGTTTGACGAAATTTGTCAAATCTGTCATTTTCGTTACTGCATGCATTTCTGAACATAAGTGAACTAACGTGCCAAGACCTCTGTTTGAAAATTGGGCTCCTGCTTAATAGACAGGGTACAATGCTATGGATGCAACCCTTGGAGAGGGTCTTATGTACCAATTGCCCTGGCAAAGATCATGTAATTCTCAAGGAAAAGCTAGCTTAATTAATGAGTCATTGACAGCTGAGGCCATTCTCATGGCATCTGCACTGTGAGCTGATCCCTTTGTCTGTCATATTTGGCTGGAAAATTAACATTTATTTTACCTCTTTGCCTTTTTTTAGGCTGTTCCTTTCTTCTTTGGAGCTATAGCTTTAGAGTACATATTAGCTTTTCTGACCAGACTTCCACCAGCAAGGTTGAATGATGCATTCAGTTCCATTGCTGCAGGAACTTTGTCGCAGTTGTCCAAGTAAGGAGATGTTTTAATGAATTTTTATAATGTGATATCATGTGAGATCTTGTTCTAGTTAATGCTATCTTTTGCATCTTTGCTACTTTGTTTTGTGTTGTTTGAAATTTTTTTTTTTCATGAAGTTCAATTTCTATAGGCTGAACCATCTGACCCACTGTGATGGCCAAAAATACTTGTACATGTCCAAACAGTTGAAGTGAAGTGAACAATTGAAGCAGTTGCCAAAATAAAATTGCAAATAACAAATTACTCCAATCATATGTAAAGAAACTGAAAAACAAGAAAAAATAATGAACAACAAAAGACACTTATAAATGTTGTACAGGATCTGCTACAAATGGCTGATGATATAAAACAATTGATTGAGAAATATCCATGCAGTTAAACAATAAAGCTGAATAAGGAAAAATTTTGGTATGGAACTTTTATGAATGATGCCCAAAAAAGGGAAATTATGCAAAAAAAAAATTAACAGAATATTATTGAAAACAAAAGAACTAAACAAAAATGCAACAGAGAGAAAAAATATGTGCTTATAATGAATAGCATTGGCATAATTTTTGGCTGTAACATACACATTTCCTATGGTTAACCCTTTAACTCCCTTTTGTGACCAAGACAGAATTTCTCCTTGCAGTATAAATACAACATCAAGCAGACAAGTGATGAGAATAAAGAAAAATATCAATTAGGGGATTATTAGTTGATCCAATACCAAATTCTCAAAACTAACATTACAAGAACTATATGACAGACAGTAAGGAGAATTACTAATGAGATCGTGGGAGTTAGAGGGTTAAAATGACACTTATACCTTTCCTCTCATGGTGTACTACAAGTTATTTAAATAATATCTAAAGGCAGGGTTATAAGTATGAACCCTAATCTGTTCTTGACAGCTGGTTTTTTCCTCTTTCAACAGGATAATTATACTGAGTGCTGAGCTTGCCCTTTATGTATTTATTTATGACAATTTTAATCTGATTACATTACCATGGGATTATCCTGGAACATGGTACTTTTGTTTTATTGGAGTGGATTTTATCTACTACTGGTTTCACAGAGCTGCTCATGGTAAGAAAATTATTATTTACAAAGTTTGTTTTCCTTATTCAAAGTCCCTCTGTAATATTATTGGTAATAGACATGTACTATGGTAATAGTAGAATAGTATTGGCCACAAGTGGTCTGTGAAAGGGTAAGGTCTAAAATTCAGGGCTGAGGGTTCCTGTTCAAGATTGTTGTAGGATGTGACTTTATTCATGGCTTGTGTTCACTTGACATTATTTAATATACATTTCTCAAAGAAAATTGAGTAATTAGTATAATTTATTATTAAATTGTTGCAGAGATCAACATTATGTGGGCAGCCCATCAGGTACATCACAGTTCTGAGGATTACAATTTTACAACAGCTTTAAGGCAATCTGTTGTGCAAAATTACACCTCTGCGGTAAGTATAGTCTCTCTTGGTTGTCAAGAAAATCTCCTTAATGAAATAATTAAAATCAGTGTGGTCAGTTTGAAATAAATAAGGAGACACCTTGCACTGTAATTCAGATTAAGTAATTCAGTGGCTAACAAACAATTAAGTGTAATGATAGTGTAAGTTGAATTAAATCTTTAATTGTTGCAGATTTTTTACATGCCTTTGGCCTTGGTGGTGCCTCCTTCAATTTTCTTTGTGCATAGTCAGTTCAATATGCTTTACCAATTCTGGATTCACACAGAGGTGAGAGTTCTTTTGTTTTTGAATCTGTTAAAAAGAAGTGATGCTCATAGGACTTCATTTAACCTTCAAGTCAAAAAATTCAAAATCAAAGTAATGAAAGAAAAATTAAAGATATGTACTCCTTGACTCTATAAACAGATAGTGCGCTCTCTTGGACCTCTTGAGTACATTCTTAACACACCCAGTCATCATCGTGTACATCATGGTAAGAATAAGTGTTATATTTTTTGGATAATTACTGTAAGTTTAAGTTTTAAAGCCTTGTTTTTCTGTTTTGATTGAGTTGCTAAAACTAAACTTCTCTAGTATGATTTTATTGTTAAAAATTATTTTGTTGCATGATGTGTTTAACTGTTTTTTTTTTGCAGGGAGAAATCCATACTGTATTGATAAAAACTATGGTAAGTAAGTTTTAAAAGTTTCTTCTTTAAATAATGATAGTGAAATTAAATGAACTACTGCAAGTAATGTAAAGTGTGAATGTATGACAGTGCAATCTCTTTTTTTTGTTGTTAATTGAACTTGTTTCCCTTCCTTGCCTGGGCAAAATAATTTCTTGGAATTTTCTCACTTTAGCCTGATACTGTGGAGGATTGCCAATAAAATTCATTTTTATGAAGAATGTATGTTTTGTTAATTTTTTCAACTATCCCATATCCAGGATTTGTGATGCTGAAATTTTAATTCAATGCTATTTATGACCATGAAGAGAAGTGGTGCAGTTGGTCAAGCAGACCAAAAAAAAGTACTATATGGGATCAGGCTTCTGATACCAGTGCTTAACATAATTTACAGTCTTATTTTGTACATTGTTTTTTTACCAGGTGGAACATTGATTATTTGGGACCGAATATTTGGTAGGAAAATTTTATGATCTAGATAACTCTACTGTGTATGGCACCTGCCTTGTCTTGAGATCTAAATGTGCTTGGAAAGATACTAAATCTTTTGCTTTGAAAAAATTGTATTTTTTAACCCTTTAACTCCCAGAAGTAATTAACATGAAACTTCTCCCTATAATACCATAAATTATTCAGCAAAAAGGTAATGAGAATATTCAAACTTATCAGGTAGAAGCTATGATCTTGATCTAGCACCGAGTTCTTATAACTAATTTACAAGAAAATGTGTTGCAGCTAGAGGGCGAATTAACAATCAGATCTTGGGAGTTAAAGAGTTATGGGCCAGTTGCCTTTCACAATGGGTGGATTTTACTCAAGTCTGGCTTATGTAATTTTCATAAGATTGCAATATTTTTGAGGACAATTTTGGCTCCAAATTGTAGGAACATTTCAAGCTGAAACAGATGAAGAAATAGCCTATGGTCTGGTTCATCCACTGGCCAGCTGGGATCCCATTTGGACTCAGGTTAGAACTCTTATTTGCACCAAACATTTAAGTCAAACAAACTTTACATTGTTTGATTAGTGGGGCCATGCACATCTGCAAGATTTCCCATATGGAAGGCAATGAAGTGATGATGTGTACTGCCACCTCGTTTACACTTGGATGCAAAATTTCTTAGCCCCATTGATTTGGTGATAGAAGACTTGCTAGTAATATGAGATACTGTTTTGTTTTTATTACTTTAAGTCATTCCTATCTTTCCCTTATCACAACTGGTCAGGCTCAAGCTTCACTTGCTCAGTGCTTCCTTTGCAGTGCTTTCATGGCAGTTTGCAGTTGACCTTCCACCTAAATTTACTTCATCTCATTGACTGAGGATTGGCCATGATCATCATTTTATTTAAATACTTTTTAAAAATTTGTAGTATTTAAGGAGATTGGTTTAATAATTTAACCAGCTGTTCTCTTTCCCATCAGCTTTGCCATTTCTGTCATATTTGGAAAACATTTTGGGAAACACCGGGACTTAAAGATAAGGTAGAGCACAAAAGACACAATATTATTGAACAGTACTTCTTGTGTCCTCCAGGATATTTCATAAACCTACTGCTTTAGATAAGATTTGTAATGGAAATAAACTTTTGAAATGGCCAGGCAATTATTGCAATTTTTATTTTGACACATTTCTATTACATCTTGCTCTTAGATTTTTCTTCCTTTGATTTAGCTTATTCTGCAAGCAAAGTGTTCCCTATCACCAAAACTTGATTTCCTAGTATATGAACTGTCCACCTCCCCCACCCCATACCTCCCCTTTCACTCAGGATGGGATGCTTGCCCATTACTAAAGTAGTTATCTTGCAGCATGAATCAAGATTTTCCAAGGTGGAGGGTGGCAATGTAAGAGCAAAGTGTCTTGCCCAAGAACATCCAGCAAAAAATCACTGTCTGGAATTCAACATAAAAACAATGGGCCAAAGAATCTCTCATATAACTTTGTGGTTAAAAGTGTTAACCCTTTGACCCCTAAGAGTGACTAGCATCTAATTTCTCATTACAATATCGCCCCTGAATCAAACATGAGGGTCATGAGAATGAAAATGATCACCAACTAAAGAAGCTCTTGATTGTTAAACAAATTCTCCTGTCAGCACCCATAGGAAATGTATATAAAACAGTATGGAGAATATTGATGTTAGGGTACAAAGGGTTAAACCTGTTATTATAAAATGGTGAATTATTGTTAATTAATCTATTCTTGTTTTACATCTACAGCTGGCTGTACTGTTCAAAGGACCTGGATGGACTCCAGGAAAGCCTCGTTTGGGTGATCCTGCAGATCTACCAGAGGTATTCAGTTTGTGTGGAATCTTGAAAGTTAATTCCTCTTGCAATTCCCCATTTGTTGCATTTATTTTGTGTGCTTATTTGGGCATAAGTGTTGTGTAAAATTGTGCAAGAATATTTGACCAATTGTGTTTTTTTTCTGATGCAGATCGAATATCCTATTCAGAGGTATGACAGTTCATTGTCATACTGGGGAAACGTTTATGTGCTTGTGCATTTTGCTGTTACCATTGTGGCATATCAACTGCTAATTGCAAGAAGGATGGTATGTTTCATGTAAAAGTTTACCTTAATGTTGAGTTACTTTAAATTCTTTCCCATCTTTTGTCAAATTAAATTCAGTTACGAAATGTCTACGCATACAATTCCCAGCCAGATGTAGGGTTTGATCAAGTAGCTGGCCAGTAGCCTTGGACATTCTGTTTTTTGAAAGTATTTTTGTTTTGTTTGTTTTATGTCTTCAGTTGATGAGCCAACTTCATGTGCTAGGAGTTATCTCATATTTCCTTTTCACAATTTCAAGTGTTGGAGCTCTGTTTGATAACAAGTAAGGACTATTCATTTAAAATATGCTATTGGAAGTTATAATTAAGAAACAATGCCAGTGTAAACAGAGTTCGAACATCTCGGTCAAGGAATCCGAATAGCTTACGGGAGTAATCATACGTGAAATATATTTTGGTTCATGCATTGTCAGGAAAAGTTTCTTTCGTAATTGTTCTGGTTTTGGGTGGAAGTTCATCCAACAATAAACTTTTCATGCGAGACACATTTTGTTTCATCCAAAAAATATTGTTCAGTGCTGTTTGATCACAAAGGTCATTTGCCGTAAACACATCTACTAATTGTTGATTTTTGTTTGTGGAAATTGCAGGTGGTATGCCCCTTACATGGAGTTATTCCGTTGTTTGTTGTTCCTCATTGTTGATCTTGTGCTGTCTTCTCAAAACTTAGACACTGGAGGTAAATGGCAATGAATTTTAACACTGATAATGCCAGTCATAACGTTTCGTTCAGAATGTAACCCCAGCGAAAAATTGAATAGAACAACCAAGAGAAAGTTACGACCTCTAAAGCTATTTCCCTGATGCTTAGAAAAAAAAATCAGAAATAAAAAGCTTCTTTGGCCTCCGAATTCCCATTTGCTCTTACTTTAAGTAGATAGTTAAAGCATTAAGCACCTAAATTTGAAATGTTATTTATTTTGTTTTTTAAGCTAAAGAATATTTCTTGCGCAAAGTGGTGTGTGGGTCGCTCTCGACTACACTGCTTATGTGCTCAATACGTACCCATTTGTATGACCAAGAGGGAAAATAATAGTTATTTTTTTTCTGTTTTTTTTTGTCTTTTTCAGTTCTTCCTACTGCTTACATCGATGTTATTCGTGGAATTTTCATTGCATCTGCGTTTCTCTGGATAATTGGTTCGTTGGTGAGCAAGAGCAAGTTAAAGATCCAGTGAACCTCGATAGCATTCGCTCACGGGCTAATTGTCGTGATTACGATTTCCAGCCAATAGGAGGTTATAATATCACCTGTTTGCTCAACATCCTTAGATCGTCATGTCGGCATAACAGGCTCCCAGAAAGTAGATGACAGTGAACCCGATTACACTCATTATTTAGGTTTTATATCTCACTCGGAGGTATAAAAGAACTAACGTTAGAGACATATTTATGTCTTACTACCGAATTCGTAATAGCAAATCATTTTCCACATTCTCTACAATACATTACTTAACATTTTAGCTCTGAGAATTAGGTTTTATTTATCAAGCGAGATTCCTTTGGTGATTGTTTAAATTTGTGTCAATTCAAGTACATCACGTCGGTTTTATTGTTTTATCTTCTCATTACCTTCCTTCGTCAAAATGTATCGATGTTGTAAGGAGAAATTCAGTTTTGGCTGCTTTTGAGATTGAAAAGGTTTACAGATTTTACGAGAAAGCGTGACCAGTACTGGTACCGGCCGCTAAAAAAAAATTTAGTTAGATAGGGTAAGTAGCTTCACCGTAGCACCTTTTAACACTGAATTGAAAGACTCCAGAGTAGTATAGATAATGAGGAGAAGGAAAAGTAATGATGACCTTTATTCAGGTCTGTGTTGATACTAAAACTAACTTTGTGGCTGATGGAGCCCTTCTAAAGGGAACCTTACCACTGTAAAATAAATTGAATGAAAACCTGGTACACCTATTTCGTGTTGTTGCCTTGTTCTAACAACTTTTGCTATGTCCCAAGTTACCAAGATCATCCCCAGCAATTAGCTCACTGTAAATCACTTCCAAACTAAAAGGAGGGCTTATTTGTTCATAACAACCTGTAATCGGACAGTCGAATGTGACAATTTCACAGCCAATGGAAATCAATCACGGTTGATAATGTCTATCGGTTTCGGTGACTGATATCCATTTAAGGTAAACGATATGGAATGGCGATGAATTATGTCAAACGATGGTGAGTGATGCTTATAAGCTGGAATCAAACGGTCCAGTGAAGTCATCGATCTATCAAGCTACAGGGCTGTACCCAAATAGAAAACGGTTCGAGCAAAAGTTGAATTAAACACAACGCTAGTCTTCGTGAAGTGTGTGAAAAGTTAAACAAGCATATTTTAGAGTACGTTCACCCTGTTTTTTCATAACGTCGAAGTCCTACAAAACAAGTGATTTACGTCAAGTGTTCAACATCAAAGCAGTTTAAAAGCTGTGGTATCTCTTAACTGTATGTCTCTCAAATAATAGATTATACTTTATAGTTGTGCGTGTCTGCAAAAGTCTGTTCATTAACAAGGAAAATTTTAAGGTTGTGGTGCCTGTTAATCGCGTTTATCAACAAAAGCAAAGTTTTAAAGGGGTGATGTCTACAGCATGTCAAAGGTTCAACAAGAGGATAAGTGGAATAAGAGTTTTACTAAGTCTTAACATGATTTATTTTATTTGTAAAGAAAAGGGACGATTGTAAAGTGGTGGTGTCTCTACATTGTAAATTTATGAAAATGTTTTATAGGTGTGGTTTCTATATCAAATGTTTGCAAGGAAACATTTTTAAATCAAAGGTGTCTGCATCGTGTATTCATCAACAACGAAACAGGAAATAAATCGCAATGTCTCTCCATCGTGTTTCTATCAACAGAGTTGACCAGTCAACAATGTTCATCGATAAAGTTGTGGTTTCTCAAGAATGTGTGAACGTCAATGGCGAAAATGTTTAAAATTTTCTTGCCATTACAAACAGGGGAAAAGTATCTCAATATTGAGTTTACCAACGGCAAGAGTCTCAAATTTGTGGTGTCTCTACCCCGTGTCTCTAAACCACGACACGAGTTTTGGATTCTTCAATCATGTGATAGTAATTTGAAGATCATTCACTTGTTAGACAACAGAAAGTAACGAAATATATTTTTGGGACAAACTTGGGAGGTACTCCACTTAATAAAGACAGCTAAGATGGGTTTTGCTATTGGGAACTGTCCAGGACGTAAGAAAATTGTGCGTTGACTCTTTTGTGATGTCCCCCTTCCCAGAAAATTTTACCACAAGTGGAACAACAAAAGAACAAATCCACACTGTCCACTACAGTTTCAGGTAATGGACCAAGCTTCAGAGGCACTCCGCTGGGTAAAGTCAGATCCTTAAGATTCACAGGACAGTTCTTTGGCTCAAAGCCGGGCAGTGGGGCTCTAAAACGACCATGGAAGATCCCCATGACTAATCGCATGTCATCCTTATGAACTTTCACGAAATCATCCCCATTGCAGACCTACAACAAATTCATTGAAGATGAAACTTAGAATACAAGAATTCGGCGTGATATAATACACAAAAGCTGAAATTTCATTCATCTATCAGGAGAGTTACCAATTTTTCTGATATGAACCCGATTTAACGGCCAGGTTGAAGTTGTTCTTCTAAATCATTCCACGTACGCTAAAGAAATTTTCAACATAATGCATAAGTCTCCTGATTTGCAAACTTGACCTTACCACACGGAAGAAGGGTTACGCCCGAAACAAAAAATTATTAGGCACTTCATCCATTTATTTATCCTCATTTTGACTTTACGAAAACCCTCTAAAGAAAAGCTCGCACTAACCACAGAGCCACACACAAACCTGACAGCGACTAAAGATATCTTGTTTCTTTACTTGCACGTTAAAATATTTCACCAGAGCCGATACTTGTTGTCGAATCTTTCCACTTGGAACACAAACGCACATTCCTTCAGGTACCCGGGCACGCAACTAAACAACGAACAAACAAACTAGCATGGCATCAGTCTTTCCAAAAAGTGGTACTTAAGTCTTTATCCCTTCTTTAAAGTAGAAAGTAGATGCATTCTTTTTTTTTTTTTTTTACTTTCTCCATTCACTTGATTATCCCCATTTCCATACTCTGTATATTTATGCGTCTCTTCTCTGTACACTTTTTTGAAAATCGTACCTATCCTTTACTCGTAAGTGTTATTGGATCGATTGAAAGGAAACCCAATAAATCGCTGATACTGAGGGAGAATGAGTAACTCACGCCAAGATATCTACCTTTAATCTTTCTCTTTCGAGATTCACAACATCCATCATTTATCCGGGATGTTAGTTCGTAAAGAAGGCGGTTACAAATGTCTAATAACTACGTTTACCTGTTCATATGGTAAACCCGTTGTTAGGATGATTCTATTCTCAGTTTGGGCAATCTGTTAACAGACACAAAAACCTCAATATGTTTAAAGTCCGCTGACCTCCTTAGTATGGATACTCCTCCTAAAGGAGACGAGTTATATACTTTAAGGAAGGTGTCACTATTTACATACTTTAGAGAGAAAACTATACCGCCACGGAACGAGAAAGGCCCTCAAACAAGATCATCACGTCTTCCTTGCCGCTTTCAATTTTCTTCACTTATGTGATTCTCTTCAAGGAATATAAATATATTTTTACAGGGACGACTTAACCCTCGCTTTACTTAGTCAATGAAACACTCAGTTTAGAACATACGGAATCAAGTATGATAAGGGCGGTGACAATAACTCAAAATTGACAGAAAGCACAAAAAATGTTCCGCTAGGGGGTCAAGCTCAGAGCACTCGGTGCGAAGCGCAGCGCGCGAAACACCGGGCCACTGTTAGACTACTGCTCTACCTTAACTGCTCTTTCGTGTTCGCCCTTGTTATCCAGAATAACCACATCAATCCCGCAACATCTCAAATGTTGACCCAGACCCTGCAGCATTGTATCAACCACGACCCTGAGTGACTGAGGAGGAATGGGATCTCTTTTCTTCGCAGGAGGAAGCAAATCCTAAAGAAGAAAGAATGGAAGCCATGTGACCGAGCCTCATGTCTTCATTCAGCACAGATGCCCTCGTATTTGGTGTGCTGTTGGATTCTAAAATGGTGAAAACCTATTCATCGGCTGTGCTTCGTAAACGCTACGAAATGTCTTTACATAATCACTAAACCCTCTTGATGTCACTCACAACTAAGCATTTCAATATGAACTGCTCAGAAATGTTCTTTAGAAACATTTCAACCTTTTCACTGCAAACGCCACAGAAGTAAAACCTCCAGAGACGATCAGGTGACAACACACACTTTACATACAAAGAAAAACCCACTGCAAATTAAAGAGAAAAAAGTTCATGTTCTTACAAATGTGTTCACATAATTTTCTATTAGAATTGCCGGTTTTCATGTGAAAACCTGTCCAAGTGAAGTAAGATTGTGGCGACTCACATTAGAGCGCGTGCCTGGCTTCGGCTGCTTCCGTCTGCTCCGACTGCAACAAAACACAAAACATCGAGGCTAAATACTAATAATACTAGCAACAAGTAAGGCAAAGGAGTTGCTAACGATGGAAAAATTGCGTGCCATGCATCAAATGTCAATGTTACAAGTTTCTAAACGCTTCCTTAATGTATTAACCAGTCCCAGCTAGGTTCTTACATGTCCAACAAATTATATTATCTCACGGCACTGATAGTTTTTGCAAGACAAGTTTCTTTGTGGTTGGTCTCAAGAGCTTGTGGTCAAGTAAGACACAAAAAAGTGTAAGTTAGAGAAAGCAAGATGTACTAATCAGAGTTTGATTATCATGAAATGGAATGGCGCGTCCAGCAGGCACTCCAATAAGCACACCTAAGGCAGAAGAACACCTTCATGACAGCCTTCTCTTTGCACGCAGGTTTCTTTATAAGCAGACATGCGGACTGGCTATCGTGTAAATTCTTCTTTGTATCAAGACTTGTCTTTCCGTATGACAGAGAAAAGAACCACCATAAAAACAACATACCGCTGTTTTTCCTTCTTCGGATGTAACCATGTAAGCACAAGACCAGGCTCCATATCGACTCGTAACCTCGACTCCACGACCCACTGTTTAAGGACCTCGTAAATCTCCAGCAAACAGAAAGCATCTAAGGCTAGACAGAGAATAGAACAAGTTATTTACAACAAACGGAATTGTCTTGTTTATTTCCACATAGTTGTTTCTCATCATCCTATCTAAAAAGGAAATTGGATGGATCGTAATACACAAGTTTATGAGAGAATCGACTACATTTAGACAAAACATTATGTTCATTTGATACGTGATATAAAAGTATTCATACACGACATGAATATATAATGCAATAAAGATGGTAACAGCTAAAAACAAAATTTAATCAATTAAAAACAACACTGTGAAATCGATATTGCTTCACCTGGCATGCGTGGCTGGTAGTTTATTTTATTGACCACTCGCAAAACCGGCTGTTACAAAAGCTACAAAGTTGTGCTTCGTTTGCTTTCCCACAGAAGAGACATTTCATTTGTAGCGGCTACATGGATTCAACCGGATTCAGTGATCAGTACACACCCGGTAAATACAATGGAGGCAATGGATGAGTTATTTATGATGATCGCCCTTGACAAAGTGAGTTGCTCCATGATAAATCTATAATAGTTGCTCCATGATAAATCTATAATAGTTGCTCCATGATAAATCTATAATAGTTGCTCCATGATAAATCTATAATAGTTGCTCCATGATAAATCTATAATAGTTGCTCCATGATAAATCTATAATAGTTGCTCCATGATAAATCTATAATAGTTGCTCCATGATAAATCTATAATAGTTGCTCCATGATAAATCTATAATAGTTGCTCCATGATAAATCTATAATAGTTGCTCCATGATAAATCTATAATAGTTGCTCCATGATAAATCTATAATAGTTGCTCCATGATAAATCTATAATAGTTGCTCCATGATAAATCTATAATAGTTGCTCCATGATAAATCTATAATAGTTGCTCCATGATAAATCTATAATAGTTGCTCCATGATAAATCTATAATAGTTGCTCCATGATAAATCTATAATAGTTGCTCCATGATAAATCTATAATAGTTGCTCCATGATAAATCTATAATAACCAAGCTCGAAACTATAACAGTTTAATTGAACAATCATCACAATTCAAACTTGTACCCAGTCTCTAATCCTTATTCATTCCTTGTCCTTCAAAAGCAGGAGTTACCTGCATAAATCAGCTGATCCTCGCTTAACGGACGCCGTTCCCAGTCGGAGATCTGATACGTTTTGTCTAAAGCTTGACCAAGGCACAAGAACGCCAACTCGCTCAAGCCTCGCTCTTCTTCCATACAAGCACGCTCTCTTGCAGATACACTACGCATGCGGGAGCTGACTTTTTGTTGCACACTTGGTATACTGAGTATCTATGTAAACAAATATATGAAGCCTGTTTTCAACAGGATCACTCACATTAATAAACGCACATTCAGTGGACTTTCAAGTTTGACCACATTGTAAGTCTTTCCATATGAATTCTTGCGAAGTTTTCAAGCAGCTCAATGTGCGTTTATTAATGTGAGTGTTTCTGTTCATAACAGGCTTAATTCTTACATTTCAAGTGTTCACTGGCTCACTGACTCCTCCTGTTTGCCATGGTTAACCAAATATCAAAATCTTACTAACGACCTGTTATCAGAATATAGAAACTAAACTACATGACGAACTTCGCCACATAAAGGGGCAAGTGACGCTGTCAAAATCTGCGTTATCTCTGTTGTGAAATTCAAGGAGTAATTTAAAACAATGTACAAAATGTCATGGACAGATTCTTATTCGTCTTGTGTGTTTTATTCAACTACAGGGGTGGGAAGGGAAGCTCTACATTACAAACAAACGGATGCAGCTCAAGGTTTCTTTAAGAAAAGCCGAGTTGCACACATAGGCCAACAAATTCACTTAACCCGCAGCTTGGAGGAATCACATTTTCAAAGGAGTTCTAAATCTTTCCTACCTGTTTACTTAATGGACACAGGTCAACAAACCGAGCAAGACGTGTCACAGCATGTTCGCACGGGGGACTCGAAGAAACCAAGTTTCGAAAATCAGAGTCAACTCCATAACCTGTCAAACCAATATTAAATGTTCAATTAACCAACCAAGCATATGACAGTTAATTTGCGCAAAATACAGTACACTTATAACTTTTTAATATTTCTCGCTGCACAGTATGTTATTTGAAAAAGTGTATGTATGTTTCTGCATCTAAGACAACCTTCGGAAACACTTCCAAAAAGTAATCGAAAAGTTTTCTTCTGCTGTTTATAGGCCAACGGACGAACGAATATTTGTTAAGAGGAAATAGTGTGCAGATATATAAATGTGAGGGATCGTTTCAGAGCAAATCAACTTCACCAATTTTTAACTGGCTCCTTCCCCTTCTAGATCAGCTCACCTCTTGGAGATTCTTTCAAAATAACAATGCCTTCAGGTTATTGATGTTTTCGTTTGCACACAACAATTGGACAAAAATTTTAAGGAAGCTGCTGTTCCTTTTTACACCAGTACTGATAAGCTTAACTCTTTACCTAGCTTTAGAACGCGAGGATTAGCAAAGAAACTTTCAGCAAACTGTTGCATCTCGGCGTCTTTAACATTGTCTGTCATTGCTATCACGTCCAATATAAACACTTCATTCCATGTAGAAAGCTGAATAATCGAAAGCCTGCACGAAAAAAATATTGTCAAATGACACGGGGGTAAAGAAAATTTCTTCTTCTGAAGCTGATACAGACACTGTCACACATATCAACCAATCACATTTAGCTGTACACCAAAACTAAAGTTTGCGAGTTTGACCTGGTGCGAGATGACCTCGGGCAACATAACCTGAGGCGAATTTGATCTGGGGCGAAACTAAATTTGGGGGCCAGACGACCTAAGGTGAATTTACCTAGGGCGAGACAACCTGAGAGGAAAAATGGCGCGAAACTAACTTTGGGGAAGAAACGACCTGAAGCGAATTTGACCTACGGCATGATGACCTGGGGCGAAACTGACTTTAGAAGCGAGACAACCTGAAGGCGAGTTTAAACCGGGATGAGAGGACCTGGAGGACCTTTACATCTTATGGGTTGACCAGTCACAAAGCAAATTAAGTTAAAAGCTATGTAATCTTGGATACCTATCGACACCAATTTGAAAATTAGTCTTGAAGCAGTTTTAACATTTTATACTACTCACATTTCTTCGATTACTTTAATCAAGATACAACCGAGCTGAAAAGAAAATTCTCAAACTTAGGTTGTCAAACCGGGCGAGTTCCACTGACCTGTCATCAGTCCCCGCGCGACACATTGTCGGTCTCCACTCAGTGTCAAATCCTACAACATTACCGGGCTAACAAAGACAAATAACGCTCAGTATAAACGCAAAATATATGAATATTTTTGCACATTTGTTTACATAATTTTTTTTTATCTGTATGTTTTTCTAACAATCATAACCATTTCAGAAGGAATCTCCTAGCTGAGAAGATGTTTGTCTCAAACGCACAAATATTCGAAAGATTAATTCGTTACGAGGAAAAAGGGATTGCTTGAGAAATATGTCAACAATTGAAGCATCAGATTTGTCGTAAAGACAGTTTGGCGTTTCTTTTACAGATGAACCAAAAAGTGAGTGATTCAAATACCAAGTAGCCTCCCCCCAACGATTTCCTCCATAACCTTCATTGACCTTAATTCAGGATGTCATGTTAACCTCAAGTACAATACAAAACTGCACGTACCTTACAGAGGACTTGCGTACATTCCCTTAAAGACTGAGTGTTATCAACCACGAATATCCTATCAGCAGATAATGGCAGCCGATAGCAGTTGGCAGGTGCAGAATTTAATGTTGAAGGTATATCGTTGTACACTTTACGTTCCGCCTTTCCTTCTATTTCCGCTTCCCAGTCTTCAGAATCTTCATTTGCACCTTGCCTTAAAAATGTAAAAACGATTGGCAATGTCAAATAGGAAATTAGAAATTGCTTACATCATGTTATACATGTTGCCTGGACACAAGACAATTTTATGAGTGAAAAATTTGGCAACCAAGGACTGAAGAGTCTATCCCAGCCTGGAGAGCAACCGCACCATCTCCCTGAATAGGATGCTTGTATATTGCAGGTTATGATGACCTCCACTGGGCGTTTCTCAAGATTTCTTTACGTTATCTGATCATCACTTTTCTCTTGAGTGGAAAGACGCACTATGTACAGGTATGGGAGAAAGTTACTGAGCATTACTGCATGAAAGACTGAAAGGCAATGGGCAGAGTTCAATTTCTGCCATATACGTGCTGATTGCAAAAATTTTTGTGATTCTTGTTCTTTCCATTAAAACACAGAAGGACAGGGCTAAAGCTTGTCATCAGGGTTAGAGTCTAGCATCATCAGGTCATTTCTGTCTTTTAAGAATATTCTATACAGCATTAACCGTGATTGGGTATCAAATCCCCCTTTCTGGGGGTGTGACTGTGACGTGGAGGGGGTTGACTTTTGTTCCGAATATGAGAAGGACATGCTCGTCAGATGAATGCGCGAGTAGAATGAGGCTTTGAAACCTACCATCTTTCCACAAGATCTTTAACCAAAGGATGAACTGACTCCAAAGGCAGGCAATAGTACCTAGTCCATCTAACAGCCTCTTCAATATCATCAAACTCAACTAAACTTTCTATTAGTTTGTGCTGAAGCCATTTGTTATCACCAAGAGCACTCTGTAAGGCAAACGACAAATCCGTATAAAAAATAGCATCCTTACCGGAATCGACATTCTGAACAAACAAGTGTCTCTTGAAGAGAAATATGGGCCAAATGCAAAATCTTGGTCCCCATTAGGAATCATAAGTTGGACCTTCCAATTTGCCCTCTGTGGCTCTACTGCTAAGATTCAGAGAACTCTTTGGTGAGCTCACCAAGACATACACACAAAAAAAATCAATCTTTTTTTCTTCTCTCAAAAACGAGCTCAAAATTTCACAGCTTTTGTCATTCTATTTATCTCTTGACGTGTAGCAATCGCAAAGCACTTTCCCAACTTGAAACAGCTTTAAAGGAAGAATTTCACCAGATTAGATGCAAGATTTAAAAAAAGGGGAATATCACTTGGGGATTGTCACCAAATATTTCCCAATTTTAGCTCTGGCATATTTTTTCATTAGATGAGATGAAAGAAATAATACACATGCAAAAATATTTCATCAATTACAGATGGTGATAAGTTCTGATGTTCGTGTGATCCAGGAACTTAATTTTTTATAGAATATACCTCAATGAGATTGTCCCACTTGTAACTTAATGGTTGTTTCTGAAAAAAAATACAAAACAGAACAAATACAAAGATAAAAATATTTAATCAGTTCAAGTACCGGTACTCCAAAACCATTTTAAGTCTTAACCATAGTAACAAAATTAAATTCCGCATGCATAGTTCACAGAAAATTATTACCTCTGAATATTTCTTCTGTAAGAGATATCTCAATCCATTTAAGTTCTTTTCTTTGTATATATTGGGGTAGTTCTCTGGAAGAACAGAAATCAATTCACGGAACATTGCCTTACACACTAAAGAACAACAGACAAGTCTGTTTTGTTTCTTAAAAAATGCTTGCTTCTCATCAAAAAGAAGTTTAAGAATGAAAAGTCAAACTGATTTTAAGATGTATTAAGGGAGATGTAGTGGCCTCCTTGGCTAAAATGCTGCACACTGTCTACAGCACCTAAAGAAAAAGACTTGGTCAGGCTAAAAAATGTACAGTACCTCTTCATGATCAAAGAATGCAAGAAATACATGTAATTACATTCCAGCAGGGTGCACAATGACCATTACCCCAACCCTCCCCTCCTAATCCAACCCTTCAAAGTATAAATATTTAAAAAGGTAAAAAACAAACAATTAAGACTTAAAATTCAGATGGTGCAAACACCAGAATCTGAAGAAACTACATGGCATAAATATTTTCCAGTGCAAAATACTTCCATTTTTGTTTTTTAGCAGCATGGATACCAGCCTGCTGATACACAAGTTAGAGCAAAGGTGTACATGCACCACATAATGTATGATGTACTGAAATTTTTAACTGTGACCTTCTTTTTTGAAAATCTCAGCTGAAGCCCTGGTCAGAATCTTACTACAAATTAGTGCGTATGTACGCCAATTAGTGCGTATAGTACCATACCTGCTTTTAAATGAAACATTTTCACAAGCCTCTCTCCTAACTTAATAAGAATCTTGTTCTTGAGTCTGTGATCCTTTGGTTTTGGAGAAACAGTTTTCCTGATGAAAAACAAATTTAAGAAGTTTATCTCTCTAATAATTACTGTTAGCAGTTAGTGACAAAGGGTTTTGCCTCATCTTATTTCCTTCCCAGAGCTGTCATCCTAAAGAGCAACTTGACAGCTTAATGGCTTTAACCAAAACTTTTTTTTTCAGATTTGCAGAAACTACATCTGCATTTAGTTTTGTCCTTGTTTTCCGTGGTTACAGCAGCTAATGAGATGGTGAGAAAAACTGGTTTGCTAGGGATAATTTGATCTTATAAATTTCCCATCATCAATAAACCTTAAGGCCTTTCCCTTTATGCTAATTTTGATTAATGCAACTGTTACTGAGGTAAACATTCCCTTTGAGATTAACATAGTGTTATGTGCCAGTAACTCTAAAATGAGCTAAAGATGGCCCTTGTTTCTTTAACCAACTGCAATTGGTAAAATGCTAAGGAAGATCAAAATGAAATTAGTTTGAAAAAGTCATATATTTAACAGCTGTTTTCACTTACTCAACAACAAGCTCCAGATCATCATCTGTCATTGTACACAACTCATCGATCAACTTCATAAAAAGTTGTAATGAGGTGGGACAGCCTGCCACATAGCTAGACGCAATTAAAAAATTATAGTTTTTAAGTTTACAAAGTATCACTGCTTGTAATTTACAATGAGTTTTTAGAGCTTTCATACCAACTTAGCTGTAATTTGTTCAGGTCAAGAAGCAAAATACCATATCTGTAAATTATACTTGTGTAGGATAAATAGATCAAAATTTTCATCATTCAAATGACTACAAGTATTGATCAATGAATTTTATTAAGTACATTTATTATGTCTTGTTTCTCTTCTGTTTGTTTGAATATATATTAAAAATGGAAAAAAAATTAAAATCACTTCTGGAGGGAGTGGAAAGAGCAAGGGTCATAGTTATCACTTGACAAGTCACAAACATACCTCTCTGCTAATTGCAACTTGTCGACAATGATCAAAGGTAACAAAATCTAGAAAATATAAATAAACTGTGCTGTTTATAGGTGAGGCTGCACAAAGACTTTGGGGACAACAACAAAAAAGCTACATGTAAATTCAGATTCAAGATCTTTAATCAAATCCGGTGCCTGGAAATTGAAAATTGTTGGCTTTTTTAAAATCTGCTTCATTGATTTTTATGCTTCTCCTACAACTTCCTAACAAATTGTTTGGCTGATAATTTCCACTGAGTATTTGACAAACATTTCCAAGAAGTTCTTCTTTACGTGCACTTATTTCTTGAAAGAAGTTTTAACAACTGGGAACAAAAGAACAGATCTATTGAGCAACATGCACCTGTATGGTAGAGGAAACTGCCTTATGACCCCCATTCCCATGAGCATAAGAACAGACATGCATGTAATTTACTTGCTGTAAGTTCAGTACATGACTTTGTTTAGTTTATGCTTTTATAGTAAGTAAGTAAGTAAGTGCAGTTCATACCTCAGTTACTTCAAAATGCCTCTGAAGTTTTAACTTGTATGCAATGGTGGCAGCCTATCGCAAGAATAACAGAAATCAACATTCAACATTCCTTAGTAACCATGATTATATTGTAAGCTGGTCCAGAGAGGTTTCAGAGACTGGCCGTCAAAATGCAATTATTCTTTGACTAAGGGTTTAAGGGACCCTAAAACAACTAGATTCTTTTTATACACAATCTTCTATGATTGCATATAAATTGTAAGTGAGAAAAAAAAAATTTTAACTGAGAACTAGTTGAATCATAACTTTCCTACTTAGTGCTGATTAATTCCAAATTTCTTGAATACATATTATTTTATTAGGCAAAGCTACTAGTAGGAGAGATTTAAAGATTAAAATATATTCTCAAATATATTGCCATTACCTCTTTGTACTTCCTCCTGGAATACATTAAAAATCTCACATGCTTGGTTAAGAAGCTGTTGTCTCCTGAATCAAGTTGAAATGTCCTTTTAACTGGCTCAAACAGCAGAAATGTGGATGATGCAACTACTTCCAAAGCTAAGTCCTTCTGATTGTCAGATGGCCAGTAACCTAGCTGTTGGATTTCTTGAACATTCCTTGCTTCAGTCTTTGACTTCAGCCAGGCCTCAAACTCAACAAGAGTCATATAAGCCAGTGACTTTTTGCCAGCTTGAATATCAAAGTCAGCAAATTTGATAACATACAAAACAAAATCAAAGCAATTCCTGCTGGCTTCAAAAGCCCTTGGAAGAAGTGACTTCAGTTCTATTAACATATCTGAGAAATATAGTGATTCAAGTTCATCCAGCCACTCTCTTTCTGAAACAAGGTGAAGAGATCTTGTAGCTAAATTTGCATCAAAATGCTGGGAAGATACTAAACAAGCTTCTGAATCTGAGGAATGTGTTGAAGATGTTTCATCCCACAGCAAATCTTTATCACTATTAACACAAGGGTAGGATTTTTGATTTGTCATATATATGTCACTTTTGGAAGGTTCAATATCGGGATCAGTTCTGCTATGATGCATGTCATTTACAATATCATTATCCCAATCTTCTTCCCAAACAGTATGATTACAATGTGGCAAATGATTTCCTTGATTGGTTGATTGGTGGAAACCTTTCCTGAAAATATTTGCATCACCAAACTTTAAATTAGAACTCTGCACAGAAAGTTGCACGTGACCATTATTGTATTTCCTTAATGTTTCTGTTTGAAGTTCTTCCCTCCTTGTAAGTCCACCTGTAGGATAAAAAATAAATGTGCAGAGCCATAGGTGAGAAAAAGTTACAAAACCATATTGTGCAACAATAAAGACACATATCTATTACCAGTATCCAAAGTAGATAGATTTGTTTGGTATGCTGGGGTATATAAGAACAGAAAATTAATTGCATAGCTGTCTTATGACTTGAATTTAGAAGCAACAAGGAAGCGAACACGTCAGCAGAGTTCTACTCTGATTTATTATTGTGACATACACGTACGCTTTTTATCATAAAATTTCGCCGGACGTTCGTTTCGAAGCGAAAATTTGACGAAATAGTGCTCTTTGTTCAACGGAAATTTCCCTCAAAACGCCTCGAATTGTCATTCGAACTTTCGCGCGAAATTTCGATGAAAATTCGCAAGGGAAAAAACCAAATTCGCGCATTTGAAATGCACGAAATTTTCGCTTGCGTTACTTTTGCACAATATTGTACTTGCACGTCAGTTAACTTTACGATTTAACTAAGTTCCCTATACTTTTTTGAAGAGGAAATGAATTCGCATTTCATACCTACTTATCTTTTACCAATCATCATACCATTT